GCCGAAGTGCAGGCGCCGGCGGCCAAAACTCTAGACGCGTTTCGAGTTCCAGAGTCGCCAAACAGGACTCGAACCGAGCGTGTGACCCCACCAATGGATTCCTCGTTCGGAGAGCTATCCAGTGGTGGGGTCACACGTTCGGTTTGAGTCCCATTTAGCGACTCTGGAGCTCAAAACGCTTCTAGAGTTTTGGCCGCCTGCGCCGGTCTCTGGCCCACTGTGCGGCGCTCCGTGCGCTCTGTGCGCCCTGCAGCGGCGAGGCGGCTGAGGCCGGGGTTGCGGGGGTTGCGGCAGCCCACGTGAAGGGGGTGGGGTGGGGGCGGGGCACGGACAAGTGCCATTAAAATTCAAGCAACGTCGTAAACCCCGTGTGTTTGTCCACTCCAGCGAGCCGGATCGGAACGACGCAACGACAGGGGCCGATCGGAAGTCTGCGGGGACGAGCGGACCGACGGACATGCAGACAGACAGGCAGACAGGGAGACAGACAGACGGACGGACAGACAGACAGACAGACAGACAGACAGACAGACAGACAGACAGACAGACAGACAGACAGACAGACAGACAGAGACAGAAAAGGCAGACGGGCAGACTATTGCGTGATCAGTCAAAATCAAACCGACCTCGGAAGCACCCACCCCGTTCATCCCCCCGGCCCTCCCTCCGACTGAACTGCAGGGACAGTGCAGCATCACGTACTACCGCCCTCTTCCAGTGGCGCTGGCTCCAGGCGCTCCAGGCGCTCCAGGCGCTCCAGGCGCTCCAGGCGCTCCAGGCAGGACACTATCACGTCTTCACGGCCGATTAGACGCCAAGATCACTTTGGTCCGAGGCATGGCCGGGGTCGCTGCAGGCTTGGGGTCCGTGAGGGCGCCTCTCCAGTCGTTTTGGTTCACTAGCTTCTTCTTCATTAGTCGAGACAAGCCTTTTTCTCTCAGAGAATCTAGCAGCCTTTACGTTTTCTGCCTTTTTTTTCAGAGTTGTTAACGGAGTTGGTACCCGTGGATCGCATAAATTCAGAACTTCCCCGAGTCTGGGTTTTCTCTGCAGTTGTTTTTCCGATACGCTGGCAAAGCTGGGCAAAGCACCCTGCTGGTCTGGAGCGGGTTACGTATACCCCCGAGGAGAGTCGAAGAGTTACGCTGCATTTCTCTCCCCGCATTTCCTGCCCCATTTTTATTTCACTACATCAGTATCGCGTTTCCGACAATAATTACGGCCGAAGGTAGACAGTTGGCGAACAAAAGTTTTCTACTCGAGCGGGGGCGCAGGCCGACGGGGCGCACGCAGCGCAGCGTGCCCGGCCTCGGCCCGGCCGCGCACTGCCAGGCTGTTTCCGGCCCGTCCGCAACTCTTTCGCGAAACAACAAAAACAACAACAGGGGAGCACATCGCGCCGCTGTAATTTATCTTGTAATACGGCGGCTCACTGAATCACGCTTCAGGCCTCAGTTACCTCGACCGGCGCGAGAAAAACGCCACTGTGAAGAACGAGATCGCCTTCTTCATCATCGCCGTCTTCAGTCTCTGAGAAATCCTATTTGGCGCGTAGATTCACGCCCCCCCCCCCCCTTCCCACGGCCTTGCTAATGCCACCCCAGTGTTCTCACCCCCACCCCCTTCCGGCGAGTTTTCCGAAATTAACAATAAGCAGGCAGACGCTCCGCACGCTCTGACGACGCCCGACGCCCCCTGGGCGAGGCTAGGCGAGGCTGGGCGAGGCTAGGGCGACGCCAAGCCCTCCCAAGGCCGCGTGCTGTGCGCTGAGCGGCGCTGAGCGGCGCTGTGCGTGGGTGGCCTGGCTACGCCCGGCTGGCATACGCGCCCTGCCAGCGTGTCTTGTAAAGTTGGCGGGGCCGCGGCGTGGCAGTAACTCACGTAATGGCTCATAAAAGCAGACCAGGTACGGAAAGGGTTGCAAAGTAGACGGCCAAGTTTCGCCCGCGTCGCCAATCAGGGGGAATCTGGTACTGGCGCCGTGCGCGAGGCCGTGTCCCAGGCCGTGGCCCAGGCCGTGCCCCAGGCCTTGTCCGAGGCCGGGGCCGAGGCCAACTGTGTCACGGAGTCACCGAGGCGTGGCGGCACAGGCCGAGGCCAGCTGGCCAGCTGATGAGCGGGGCAGAGGGTAGCGGCGTGCGCCGGCGTGCCGAGGCCGGGCGTTGCTTCGCCTGCTTCGCCACGTGCCCCGGGCAGCTGATTTCCCTGGGGGCGCTTGGCCACGGCTTGCCGCTGCGCTTGGCGCCACGCTACGCCACGCGCTTGGTCGCGGACGCTCCGGCAGATGAGTGGTAGTAATGCCCCGACGGGCCCCGCCGTGCCTCGCGCTACCGAGCTATTCATTCAAGCGAAATGACCGGGCGTGCCCCCCCCCTCTCTCTCTCTCTCCATCTCTCTCTCTCTCTCTCTCTCTCTCTCTCTCTCTCTCTCTCTCTCTCTCTCTCTCTTCCACAGCCGAGCCCTGGGCCTTAGTTGAGGCAGCAGATCGCGATAATTTATCTCCTCGCATTTTGGACGTGACTACGCAGACTATTCGAACCCCGTTCTTCCTCTTTGAGGGGATGGACTGCTAGGGGCCCGAGCGGAGGGGACCGGACGTGGCGGGCAACCCTTCACGCCAGACCCCGAAGAAAAAGGCATTTTCCGAACCCGGTTGGAGCGGTGGATAGATGTGCCTCGGACTCCAAACAGCGAAAAGAGAAGTGACCTCAGATCGTTGCCATCCCCACGAACAGTCGGACTGGAGCGGTACAAATTAGCAGGGAATGTTCATCATACGGTCAACTCAGAAGGCTCCGGCCGCGAGTCGAACCCGCGCCTGCAGCGTCGCGTGTCGGACTTTTTCCACCAGCCTATCGCCTCTTCCCTGAGGGCGGGGCGAACGATACCGAACATGTCCCAGTGGTGGGGGAACCTGAGCCAGAGCTGGCGCCGGACAGGAGGGGGAGGGGGCAGCGTGCCTCTCGCTCGCTCCCGCGTCCCGCCCGAAAGCACTTCACGACGGGGACGGAGAGAGACAAACGAAGCGACCACGCGGCTCTAGATTCTGGTGATGCTGGCTGGCGACAAAAAGCGGACACGCCACCTAGGTGTCCACGTGGCCAGCGTTAGCGGCGTCAGCGAGGCTAGAGTGGCCACGCGGTCCTCTTCGCGGCACGCGACACGAGGGACGACACGTCGGGCTTGCGCGAACGGAACAGGAGCAGGATTGCCACCGGTGAAGACAGCCATCGCCTTTAGAGCGCCACTTTAGGCGCCCTCTGAAAATCCCTTTCAAAAATTCGGAAACATGTTCAAGCAGCTGGTCTACGGGAGTCCTGCGCCGGGGTCGCTGCGGGCGTTGCTTCAGCGCAACAGTAGCAAGGAGTTAACGATCCCTCCGAATGAAACAAGTCAGCGGCGTGTGTGGGAGAGACGAAAAGAGCATCAAAACTATTTCCAGGAGAAATGTAAGGTTGGCACACGAATGCTGGTGGTTTCGCGCCGGCGTGCGTGCACGCTCCACACGTGCGTGCGGTGCGTTCCTCCACGCACCGCCTTGCTACGCGTTGCGTCCGTCGCGTCGCATCACTCCTCGCATCGCACACAGTGCACACAGTCCAGCACAGTGAGGTGGCAGACCGGGAGGAGCAGACCAGGGGGAGCCGGGGAGCCAGAGGTAGCCAGCCTCAAAGTCATGGCTTGCTCGTTTGCGATCCGCGGCCGAGATCTTCCGCGTTATCCTCGCTACTCCATTCGTCGCTGTCTCTCTCGCTCTGGTGGAGCGTCCCGTAGGGCCCCGTAGGGGTGCGAGAGAGGCAGCGTCGGAGTCGCTCGCCTGAGTGCTGCGTGCGGCAAGCACGGCTGCCTCGCCACGCACTTGATCAGCGTGCTGCACGCGTTTCCTCTCTCTCTCTCTCTCTCTCTCTCTCTCTCTCTCTCTCTCTCTCTCTCTCTCTCTCTCTCTCTCTCTCTCTCTCTCTCTCTCGTGATTTGCGAACATCTCACGAAGAACTATTTCCCCGGCGGTTCCAGCACGTATACGAGTGCAGCGGAAGCGGGTCCTTCCCTCGGTCCTTCCCGCCCAAAGCGTCCCGCCGGACGAATCGAGGCTGCCCGGCCGGGGCTCCGGGGCGTGGCATGGCGTGGCGGGCCGTCTCGAGGAGACCAGGCACGCAACCTGCTAGGGTCACGTAGGCGACATCGTCTGGGACGAGGACCAGACCCGCAGACACCAGCAGACACCAGCAGCACCACTCACCGTCTCGTCGACGCCACGCCAGCACCCACCAAGGGTAGCACCCTCTCTTTTGTTTTTGTTTTCCGACAGGAAAATTACGTTGCTTTTTTACTTTTTCTGAAAAAAGAAATAGTTTGATGTGCGTTTAAGTTTTTCAGATTGGTTCCAGATACACCTTTCCCCAGCGCTTTTGCTCCCCTCCCCCCTCTCCGCCCCTCTCTCTATGTATGTTGTGCCGTTGTGGGAAATGAAAAGTTACTCCAGTTTTCGTAGTAGAAGATTCCTCGTTCTTTTCCCCGTACAAAGTGACCAGTCCCCTGCACTGCTCGGTTTTGCGGTATTTGAATTCTCGCGCGGCAGACGGAAAGTGCAAGTTCCGCCGTTCGCCGCCAGGGGCAGCACCACCGTAAGTTACGAAATGACCATGACAGCAGAGTAAAGGTAGTGAAGGGGACACAAATTGTTTCCAATTCATTCTTGAGACCAGAAGTCAATATTCTGACACGTGCTCGTGATTCGATTTTGGCTATCTGTGAAACATAGACGACTGACGACATCAGCTGTCCCTTCGATTCAACCTGCACAAACCTTGCAACGCCATAAAAACTTTTTTTTACCAACACGCTCTCACAAAACTCACAGTTTTGATATAACATTATGTGTTTTCTGTTCTTGTAACAAAATAAATAAAATGGCTGGACATTTGAGCGTTTTGCGATGCACATGCATAACTTTGGATTTGAATAAGGGTTGGTAATAGCCAGGAGAAATCGAGATATCGAACTTCACACCGTTACCGTTTTGGGATTTGGGCTAGCAGTCAGCTATCACGTCTATCTCTATTTGTAATGTTTGGAAATATCTTGGATCCCTAGAAAACGATTTGACGTTCAAAATGGCCGAGGCAGTCGTTGAAGACCCCAACCGATTTTTCTGCCATAAATGTAGTTGTGAAATTGGTAGCGTTTTACCGGTAAGAATACTTTTATCAGGTCTATTTATATACAAGCCTACACCTTTGTGATGGGCATTGCGCCTCACCCTTCAAGTTATTATGATAACGATGCTAACAATCAAAGCCACTTGCTTTGACGTTAGCTCCAGTAAAAATTCCTATGCTTACCTGTAACGTTGAGATTATGCGGCCAAAATCATGTGATGGCTCCTGCTATCGAAGGAAGCAGCCTTGATAACCCTCTAAGTGTCATACTTCTCCCACTTTTCGCAAAACCCATTCCTCTTTTCCTCGCCTTTCACCTACACCATCGGGGTGTATCAAATTTGGCGAGCACGTCAAACACTCACTGTCAAAGGACCATTTTTTTTCTAGGTTAGGCCTTTGCCAATTTCACCTTTCATTATTTTGTTTATGTTTACCAAGTCTGCCTTTTAAACTAAATACTCATGTATCCCTAATAGTTTTCCAGCTGAACCTAGTCCTAATCTCAAATCCCCTGCCTTTTTTTCTGTATTCATCACAACACAAATGATGTTTTTTTTTTGTTACTTTGTTACCCTAAAGTCCGCTCTATCATCTTTCGCATATAGGATTCTACTGCAGCTCCCTCTTTCCAAGTAAAAGAAGCACATGTTTTACTTGTGTCTTATGTTTTTATTTTGGTATCATTCATTTAATGTCATGTTCTTTCTCATTGAAACAAATGTAAACAATGCCCAAAGATATTTTAATGATAGTTTGAATGAAAGTTTCTTCCATATGCTAGCATCTGTCTCCTTCCCTGAAAGCCTCCATGATATTGAAACAAATAAATTATTTTTCAGGATTATACATGTCCTCGATGTTGCTCTGGATTCATTGAGGCCCTTGATGGATCTTCACCTGCAGGAGACCAAGCTGATGATAGTGACGATGAGTTTGATGTGGTCCAACCATGGGAGGTAAGATCTCTCACTATCTCTCAATGATATTTGTTCTATTTACATTTTTCGAGTAATTTGGGTTGGAATAAGGGTATTATTATTTTGGTTTTGGTGGGGGGAAGTGACGTGTTTTACATGTTGCTTATTTAGATCCTCCATGATGTTTTAGGTCTGTGTTGTTGGGAAGTGTCATGTTTTAAATGTTCCATATTTAGATACTCCAAGATGTTTTTCTCATGGGGATGAATGGAGAACCATCCTTGGAGAACCGAAGACGGCGTCGAGGTAGAGATGGAGAAAGACGAACTAGAAGGTAAAAGATTATCCAACTGAGTGTCTCTGGGACTTACATCTTTTGTTCTTTTCTCATGTTTGACTATTTTTGTCAGGAACACCAGACCTCGACATGCTTTTGAAAATCTTATGCACCTCTTTGTGATGAATTTGAATGGTGACATGGGTACTCATGGCAATCTGCAAGTAGGCCGTGGTGGAGCTTTTAGTCCTGAGTAAGTTATGAGTTTTAGTTGAGCTTGCTCCACAAAATCATTGGTGTAACTTACTCTATAATTGATTGGTTTGAAATGTGTACAGGTTTTTGGTGGGTAATCCTGGAGATTATGCGTGGGGACGAGAGAACTTTGATGCGATTGTTACTCAGCTATTGAACCAGATTGAATCCACTGGACCACCACCTCTAGCCAAGGAAAAAATTTCAGAGATTCCTGTGGTTTATATTTCACAGGAACAAGTTGGTAAGTGGGGAACGGACTTGTCTGTCAACAAGCACATTCTGACCTGTGCATTTGCTTTACTCATTGTCAGATTATAAGTGGTAATCTCATCATAATTTTTGTAGACACATCACTTCAGTGTTCAGTCTGTTGGGAAAATTTCAAATTGGATGAGCCTGTTCGTCAACTGGTTTGCACCCATGTTTATCATGAGGGTTGCATAATTCCCTGGCTCGAATTGGTAAGTATCATTGAAATGTGCATTCAAAGCGCAACTATTCTAGCACACGGTGTGTTCAAACTGTCCTGACTCTCATTTTTCCCCCAGCATGGTACATGCCCAGTCTGCAGGAAACCCCTTAGCTCAGAGGCAGAGCAGGCCACAACAGAAGACACTGGCAGAAGGTCAGAGACCCTTAGGAACCTTGCTGCTCACTTCCCTGCTGTATCACAAAGTCGGGCAGATCAGCTACGTCACATAAATCAGCAATTTGATAACATACGGTCCAGGTATTCCAGAATTAAGTTCCCAAACTCTTCTCTTAATTTGCCGTTTGTTTGAACTTATCGTAATGAGGTCATTCTCTTCTATTATTCTAGGCTAGGCAACATGTCGGGTTCGAGTGGGCAGCCCTCCTCAATGGGTCAAGCAATGAATGAGGTTGCGGCAGCCCTAGCAGGCCCCGCTGGTAGCACTTCAACAGATGTGAGTGGTACAAACAGTCAAGCTCCACACATGGATGATCTCGATGTGGATTAGGTAAAGATTATCAATTTGTATCACTAATGTGTCCCACAGACGACCAGAGTTATGGATTGTTGTAAAAAAATTTCTTTTGGCACCAACTTTGTGAAATTTTTAAGCTCAGATTGTAAGTCACAACAAAGCACAATAGTTGTTTCAAAGCGTGTAATTTAATGGAAACAGTGTTGTTGCCTATTGTCTTGTACTCTGCTGGTCAGACTATATGTAAACAGGTTGATTTTTTGTTTCCAGTAAGTTCAATTGCTGTCAGGAAGAGCATATATCTTCTTGATATGGTTTTCTAGATAAAATTCTTTTCAACACTTTCTAATTTTGGTTTCATGTTTTGAGAAATGAGGAAAGTTTGTAATGAAACTTCCTAAATTACTTATTCCTAGGGTTTGCATTATTGTGATTCAGTTTGAATTGCTTTATAACAGAATTGACAGATGTATATATGCCTCAAGTCAAGATAAATATTGTAACTTACTCATAATCAAAGGGTGAAATGTGTTTATTTTACCCAAATGATTGACTACCTATTTTAGTGCTGAAAAGCTTGTCTTCTGAAAAGACAATGTCAGCTGGCGGCTAGCCTGTTGGTGGTGATAAATTATTGAGTTTTCATTGCAATTACATTTTTGCACTGGAATGGTTTGATGATGTGATTGTATTGTCATTTTTATGTTATTTTGTAGTTTGCCGTGTCCAGACTTGTAAACTATGCTGGTCTGTTGTTTGTAATAATAGGCCATGTTTCACTTTTATATTTTGAGTGAATCATCCATTAAAGACCATTTGCTGGCACTTCAGATCACTTTTGACTACATGAAGAAAGACTTCTTCTTATGGCACTACTTGATCTTTTCTTGCTGTTGGATTATTCCTGTAGATGTGAAAATCACTTTTATATTTTGATTGGACGATATGAGAAAACACGTTTGTGATCAAAATTATTGTAATAGTGATATTTGACCCTGAAAATGTGCATGGAAATTGAAGAGCTGAAATGTTTCTGTATCTAATCTAATTCCATTCCATTTTCCATTTATAGGTACTTTTCTTCCTGTTCTGTAATTATCTTAAATGTGGTCTCTGCATTTTGTCTTTTTACAAGAACAGAACTGTAGCATTATGAATCAATATGAATGTTAGTAATTATCATAAATTGATGGCCTATTGATTTCATGCAAAAGTTGCTGTTATCTGCAAAGTTGTACCCCAAGAATGTTCCTCTGGATGGATTTTGTGAGAAAAAGAAGTTGGGTTTTCATGCTGGTACTCGTTCTTTTATATTTTTTTTGTTCTTCTCTATTTTATAAAAGAAGTTCAGTTTCAATACTGGGAATCATTCTTTTACGTTCCTGTTTTTTTTTTTTAATTTAATTTGGGTGTTGAAAGAAAATTGAAACCTTCATTTGAAAACTTGTGCAGACTGAGTTCATTTGTATTAATAATAATAAATTTAAAGTACTGGAATGTGATATGCAAGAGGACCTGAATCTGAAGGCTTGGGAGGAAAGTAGCTTTAGGTTTTGTGTGCTTTTCTGTCACTACAGACAGTAAACTTAATTTATTTGTTGGTGTTCTTGTCTACTTGTCTAGCAACAACAGTCCGCTCATTCAGACATCCTGAAAGTTGGTTTCCCTTTGCTTGAAGGATTCTTATTCAGTCAGAAACCCGATGTGCAGACTGTTGTTGGTGGTTGACGTTAAAGTTTGTCTCACTTGCATTATGAAAAAAAGTCTTGATATTGAAAAAAAAATTACCCCTGATGATGATTAAAGCGGTCTGCTAACCAATCGGGCTTTTCTTTCTTTCTGTCATTCATTTCCCTTTTTCCTTTACGCTGCGATTGCTTGGGGCGCGGGGTAGCGACGGAGAGACTCCAGGAGGGGGAGCAGTCTCTGGCTGCGCGGGGTAGCGACAAGCAGCGGGAGTCTGTCTTGCTGACGCGTGGGGAATCTCCATACGAGTTGGACTCATTCGAAAGTTCAGAACAGTTCCATAGGGGTTCGAAGGCAAAGCTCAGCGCCGCCTGCCCAGGCGTGGTGGCCACCCTTGGAACTACGAGAATAGATTGTCCACGGTACTGTCACATCGTCGGGAGCATGGGAGAGCAGACGACGCCGCCGACTAAAGATCGCTGACATGCCGAAACATGTGTCGTCTGAGCTCTCTAAAATTCACTTGAGCATAAAAAACTCAACCCCGATAAGCGTAATAGCGTAAAACGCTTAGCGAAGGAATTTACAAATCCCTTGGACAACAAGCGACAACTTAATGGGGTCGACGGTGCTGCGCTCTGTCGGGCCTTCGAACCCCTATAAGCTTTCAAGTTGGAGTCTGCTCCACGGGTCTTCCTGTGACTCTAATGGGACTCTCCATCCCGATGCTCTCACCTGCAGAGGTTCCACTGGGCCACTGGAGGCATGGAGGGTGAAGGGCGAGGCACGAGCCATCGAGTTTGCCCGCGGACTGAAAGGGGTCCTCTTTGGCATCGCCCGCCGGCAGCCCCGCCGCGACACCATCCCGCCATTTGGCTGCCATTTTGCCGCCATTTCCCGCGGCCAGAGCATTGAGGGGGATCACGATCACAGTGGCGGGGCGGCCACGCTGCCACGCCACTGGCGAGCAGGAGCCATCCAGCCATCGCTCAAAAGCGAGACAAGGAAGCAGGAACGAGTGGAACGAGGCCAAAGCAGAGCTAAAAGCTAAAACAGAGCTAAAGCAGGTCTGCGGGCTGATTCCGGGCGGGGTGTCCTGTCTCTCCCTCGCAACCCTACCGTCCTACGGGACGCCCCTTGAGTGCGAGAGAGACACACCCCGTTCGTAATCGGCCCGCTGGACGGCCCGGGACGGACCGCAAGACAATAAAAGCCTCGCCATTGTCTGCCCTCCGCCCTTCCCTTCCCTTTTCCCCTGCCTGCCTGCCTGCTACCCCTCGCAGTGCCTCGCAGTGGCGGTGGTGGTTGCTCTCGGATATTATTCGGTTTTCCGTGGCTTTTGTGGCCAGACGTTTCGTTTGTGATGTTTCATCCTAATTTTCGTGCTCCGGCGGCGGTGCGGCCGGGCGCTCTGTCTCTCTTTTTCCCTCCATCTCTCTCTCTCTCTCTCTCTCTCTCTCTCTCTCTCTCTCTCTCTCTCTCTCTCTCCTTTCACTGCCGTCATCCTTCCCACTCACCCTTCGCGAGGGGCCCGGGTGGCCCGGGGGGATGCGGTGTGCTCCTCAAAGCCTGGAAATCGATTAGTACCTCCGTTGCGGTGGCGCGGTGGCGTCGATGAGGGGGAGCGAGAGAGACAGAGGGGCTCCATCCTCTGCATGCATGGCACTGCAGGCTGAGCACTGCTTTCGACGCTGTCTCTCTCGCACCAATACGGAACGTCCCATGAGCGCGAGAGAGACAGCGCTAAGAGAGCAGTGCTCGGAACCAGCCTGCTGGCTGACGCCAACGCCCCGAAATGGCATACGATCATGTGTGGTCTAGCCCTTAATGGTAATGGTAATGGCTAGTCCCATCCCGTCACGCAGCTGCGTCGGAAGGGTTGCCTACCCAGACACGCAGCAGGCGCCTCCCAGACTCGAACCGGTTGTTCGTCTACTCGCGAGGCACTGCTTTCGCCGCTGTCTCTCTCGCACCTGCACGGGACGCCCCATGGGTGCGAGAGAGACAGAGCGACGAATTGGACTCAGTCTGCAGCAGCGGGCGTGTCACCCCCGGGCCACGCAGGGCTGCCCGGGCGGGGCAGCCGTGATTCCGAGCACTGCTTTCGTCGCTCTGTCTCTCTCGCACTCATGGGGCGGTCCGTAGGGGTGCGAGAGAGACAGAGCGACGAAGCAGTGTTCGGAATCTGACGGCAGGGTGAGGCGTGTCGCGTGACGCGTCACCCAGACTCGACTCACGACACATCATTAGGCCAACACGGGGATGATGCTGTTATGGGAGGCCAGCACACCGCAGCAACAAAGCGTGGCGCTGAATAGAGCGGCGAGGGGGAGGGGGAGGGGGAGGGGGTCCGCGGAGAGGGAAGAGTGATTAAAACCGCTGAAGATGATTATTTGGCTGTGATTATGCCTCCGCGGGGGTCTCGGAGGGCCGCGCTGGGCGGGGCGGGCTGGAAGGGGTGGGGGAGAGACGAAATGAAGTCATTGGAAGACGGGGCGGGGACAGAGAGGTGTGTATTCCCACGAATCTCTCTCGCTCTCTTTCCCTCTCTCTCTCTCTCTCCCTCTCTCTGCGCGTCGAGCGCTTCCCATTTCGCTTCAACCACTAACAACTCCTCAGTGATTTCGCTCTGCAAAACAACTGGCTGCGCCGCGTCGCGCCGCGTGGACCAAAAGTCAGCAGCCTGGCGTTTGGATTGGACAGCAGCAGCCTGCTGACGGCTGGCAACGGCCTTGGATCCGCGGATTCGCGGATTTCCAAACTCCAAGCGCGATTTTTTTGGCAGGGTGAAGAGGGCGGTGAGGTACGGTTGGGTTGATTAGGTTAGGCGAGGTTAGGCGGCACTGTCCATGTTTGTTTCGCCTGTTTTCGCCGCCCCAGTCTTCCTTTGGTGACACGCGCCGCCACCGCAGCGACGCGCTATTTATAGTGCGGCCAGCTTGTTTGCCCATCCTGCCAGGCGGCCGTCTCCATGGTGGGGGCCAGCTCGACGTCCTGGCGGGCTGGACCGCCAGACCGCCGTCAGCTTCGCGGCGGCCAGCTTCGCGTCCTGCTTCGGCAGGTGCAGGAGGAGACAGCCCGGAGTGCACCGCGATGACGACGGCCTCGGTGGGCATCGCGGCCATCGGAGTGTCGACACTGATAAATGTGTTGTTTGTGAGGGACGGCGCCGCCGGGTGGGTGCGCCACGGCGGCCACCAGGACGGCGATGCTGTTTTGGGCGCGGTGGCGCGACGATTGGCGCGGGGCGTACAGTAGTCGGCGTACAGTAGCCGCGCCCGGCCTTGAAGCCTCGAGGTGGCCGTCGTGCCTCCAACCAACAACAGACTCCAGCGCGCTTTCCCGCGCCGCAACAGGAAATCCTGGAAAACCTGGAAAATGCCGCTGGAAAATGGCTTCGCCGCCAGGGCGGTGTGATGGCATTGCCGGGGCGCCGAAACACCGCCGAACTTTTCACGCGTACCGCGGTGACCCGTGTGCGCCGGGCGCCTTGCGAGAGGAACCTTCCACTTCACGCTTGCACATTCGATCAAATCAGTCAGTTTTTCAGAATAAAAACATTGAAAAATGGTCGGCGCAGAGTGTACATTGGACTCCAACCGGCGCGCCGCCGCCTCGTCTCCAGGTGACACAGAGCAACGATTCCCCTCGCGAAACAAGAAGTGAAGCAAAACAACAACAACAAGTCCTTATCACAGCGGCAGCCGCGCTGCCGTGTACCTACGGGAGTTCACCCAGCCGGTCTTCTCGTGATAGGCCCACACACACACTCTCACACACTCACACGTCCAGCCTGCCCTGGCCCCCGCCGCCCCGCGCCCCGGCGATCAGCTGGCGAGGTCCCCGCCGCCGGTCCGCGCCATTCGCCAGCTCCGCGCTCCGCCAGTGCCGCTCCAAACGGACCGAAGCCTCGACGCGACGCGGATCCACATCCTCTTAGACGACGCGGAGTGCGAGAAGCAAGACCCCCGCCCCGCCCCGACGCCCAGCTGCACCGCCACTGTCCGTCCAGTCCAGCTGATACCGTCTCGAAGGTGAGGGAGTGCGTGTGCACCACTGCGGTGTCGCGTCATGGCGGAAGACGAGTGGTGCACTTTTTCGGGCCGGATTTCGGTTTTGAATTTGAGCCGATTTGAGCCAGGTTGAGGCATGTGGTGGAAGGAAACTTGGGCATAAGGATAGAATTCCTCTTCTGGGGTTCCTGACAAAAGAAATAATTCGGCCCGATTTGATCACTGTGCCAATTGCGTTTGCTTGAAAAACCTTATGGTCGAAGTTAATTTGAAATTTTGAGTTTTTGGGTGCAGTTGCGATTTTTATTTTGTGAGGCACCTTGCTCTCGCTTTTCGTCCGGATGCTGCACTTGTTATTTCCGTGGAGGGTACTAGGTGGAATTGACTCACCTCGCAACGTAAGGCAGCACCACCATATTATGGTGGAACGAAATTCATCAACATATCTATAAGGTACAGTGAATTCTCAATGGTATGTCAGCTGCACCACCATAATATACATAGAGAATTTTCGCTATAATACTATAGAGAGTATTCAACAGAACAATTACAGTGCACCTGCCGACAAAATTTGGGAGGGCGCGGGGTGGAATTTCATTGATCTGGATGGCGTTGCAAGCGTTGCCAGCCCGGGCTGGCGGCACGGGCAGGCCGCGTGGCGCGTGGCGCCCTCGCCTCCCATTGGCGCCTCGCCGCGCGGCGCCCCGCCGGCAGCCAACCAGCGGCAAGGCCTTGCCCGTGAATTTCAAATCGCGTTGCCGTCCCGCGTTATCTCGCTCCAACAGTTCGGCAACCACCTACTGTGCGGACCGCGTCCGTGTGTGTGTACACACGGGTGTACCTGTGTGTCAACTCCGGCGTCAGCCAGATGTGGCTTCAGCGGCCTGCGCGGTGTGCGATTTGGAAGTAAAATGGAAAGGCCGCAATCGCGCGCCCGTCGGCAGTGGCGTGGCGTTGGCAGTGGCGTGGCACTGGCGGTGGGATCGTCGGCCTACGACTAGCCGATTAGCCACGCCGTCGGCCCCCCTTAGGGTAATCTCGATTTAGCCGGACTCGGGCTAGAAAAAGACCGGGGCTGTTGAACTCGAATCGGAGACGGTAAGAAATGCAGGCAGATTGCAGTGTGTTGACCTAGTGCCAGTCCCACTGCGGCCGGCTGGAGCGACTGTGTGCCCCGCCTACTGTACACACACTCACACACGCAGAGAATGGCACTCGTGTTCCAACCGGGGCGTTCGAGCAAAGCACGTGTTATCATTTTTAATGAGTTGCAGAAGAGGAAGGTTTGATAAGGAAGATTTGAAAAAAGATTTCAAAGTAAAAAAAGAACACGCGCCAAAATGACAAACAAAAAACACAACGATCTAAAGTTACCACATCGCGCGAGTGTGCCCAGCTGTGCACAGTGATTGAAAACAAAACAACTTGGTTATGCAACTCATTGATGTGCTTGGTGACGAGGGGCGGGCTTTCTCGCGGGACTTACATTCTCGTGGATCTCTGGCAGGCAGTTTGTTTTATTTTAAGAAAGATGATTCCGGGTGGGAACGGCTGAAACACAGAGGACATGACTGGAACGTTTTGTTGTTTTTGTCGTGCAGATGTTGGCGTCGTGTGCTCGCCTCCGCGGTGGCGCCGTGCTCGGCCCGCTCCCGGCGCTCCCCGCGGTCCTGGCCCCCGCCGCCCCCGCCCTCGCGGCCCCCGCGGCCCCCGCCGCCCCCCGCCAGCCGCGGCGCGGCCTGCACGCCATCTACGCCGTCAAGAGCAAGCGGCACGCGTCGTCGGTCTTGCCGCCGCCGACGCAGCCCGGGCGCACGGCCCTCTACGACTTCCACGTGGAGCACAACGGCAAGATGGTGCCCTTCGCCGGCTTCGTGCTGCCCGTGCAGTACGGCGCCGTCAGCATCGGCGACTCGCACCTCCACACCCGCGCCGCGGGCAGCGCCTCGCTGTTCGACGTGTCGCACATGCTGCAGACCGAGGTGCACGGCAAGGACCGCGCCGCCTTCATGGAGTCCCTCACCACGGCCGACGTGCAGGGCCTGGCGCCGGACTCGGGCACGCTCACCGTGTTCACGGACCCCACGACGGGCGGCATCCTGGACGACCTGATCGTGTGCAGCACGTCGGAGGGCAAGCTGTTCGTGGTGTCCAACGCGGGCCGGCGGCAGCACGACCAGAAGCTCATGCTGCAGGCCGAGGAGAGGCTGCGCGCCGCCGGCAAGGACGTCACCCTCCGGTTCATGGAGCCCGAGGAGCAGTCCCTGCTCGCGCTGCAGGGCCCGGGCGCCGCCAAGGCCCTGGCCCCGCTGCTGGAGGGCGCCGACCTGGACAAGCTCTACTTCATGCGCACCGTGTCCGCCAAGGTGGCCGGCGTGCCGTGCCGCGTCACGCGCTGCGGCTACACCGGCGAGGACGGCGTCGAGATCTCCATGGCCTCGGAGCACGCGCTGAAGGTGGCGCAGGCCCTGCTGGACGCCAAGACGGCCGCGGTGCAGCTGGCCGGCCTCGGCGCGCGCGACTCCCTGCGCCTGGAGGCGGGCCTCTGTCTGTACGGCAGCGACATCGACGCCACCACCACGCCCGTGGAGGCCGGCCTGGCCTGGCTCGTGGGTACGGCCCTGACCTGCACTGCTTCCACGACTCACAGTGGGCCAGAAGACCGGTGGAGGCGGCCAAAACTCTAGACGCGTTTTGAGCTCCAGAGTCGCTAAACAGGAGCCGAACCGAGCGTGTGACCCCACCAATGGATTCCTCGTTCGGAGAGCAATCCATTGGTGGGGTCACACGTTCGGTTCGAGTCCCACTTAGTGACTCTGGGGCTCAAAACGCGTCTTGAGTTTTGACCGTCTCCGCCGGTCTTCTGGTCCACTGTGCGACTGCCTCAACGCGCGCTAACGCCAACCTCCATTCCGCAGCCAAGCGACGCCGCGAGGCCGCCGACTTCCCCGGCGCGTCCGTCATCCTGAAGCAGCTCAAGGAGGGCACGCTGCGGCGCCGCGTCGGCCTGGTGCCCGTGGAGCGCGGCCCGCCGGCGCGCGGCCACACCGCCATCTACGCCAAAGGTACAGGGCAGTCCGCCTGGCCCTCGGCCTGGCCTGGCCGGAGGTCCAAGGTGGAAACGCGACGCCCCCGAAGCGTCCACGACGTCCACGTAGAGGACCGTATCGGCGGACCGGCCGGCCGGACGGATCGGATGTTGATGACATTGTTTGCGGCCCATGCCGAACGGACGGACGCCCGAACGTTGCGACACGCCACCGATAAGCTGCTGCAGTCTTTATAACGCCGGCGGCTTATCACCGCGAGTGTGTGTGTGTGTGAGAGAGAGAGAATGAGTGTGTGTGAATACCTCACGGCCGATATGGCATGGGCATCCGAGCCGGCGATACTCCACGTCAGAAAAGACTCCCCCGCGGCCAAATATCGCGCTGTCTCAGAGGCAGAGTAGTGAAGGCGGCAAAAACTCTGGACGCGTTTTGAGCTTCAGAGCCGTTAAATGGGACTCGTACCGAACGTGTGACTCCACTAATTGATTGCTCTCCGAACGAGGGATCCATTGGTGGGGTCACACGCTCGGTTCGAGTCCTGCTTAGCGACTCTGGAGCTCAAACCGCGTCTAGAGTTTTGGCCGCCTCCACCGGTCTACTGGCCCACTGTGCGAGGGTGCCGTTTCCGAAATGATCCGACATTGATTTTCCTCTCCGTCTGGCAGGCAAGGAGGCTGAGGACGCCATCGGCGAGGTGACGTCGGGCTGCCCGTCCCCGTCGCTGGGCCACTCCATCGCCATGGGCTACGTGCAGACGCCGCACAACAAGGTGGGCACCGAGGTGCACCTCCTGGTCCGCAACAAGTACGTCCGCGCCAAGGTCACCAAGATGCCCTTCGTGCAGGCGCACTACTACATGCCGCCCAAGTGAGGCCGCCCCGCCCGGCCCCGCCCGGCCACGCCAACAAGTGCCTGCTCCTCAAGCCTAACAGTGCGGGAGCGACTGAATCGTCTGTGATCTAGTAGCGAATGGTGGACCGTAGTGCACCATTTCGCTCTCTTCCTTCTGATTGACTTTGCGTTCGCGCCGCCAGCGCCACACCGGACTGCTACCCCCGCCACCTGTTTTTGTATTCTAAGTCAACAAACGCGTAGAATAAGTCCTTGTACATAGTCGATTATTTCTAAGTTTCTAAGCTAAACCGAATCGGAAAAAATAAGAGGATTGTCTCATGCGAGTGATGTTTGATGTTCGCGTAAAACCGTTTTGCATTATATGTTTTTCTAAAAAAAGAGAAGAAAATTTGGTGTTTGCACTTAATCATTCCCTAAACACATGTTTATCCTAGCAGGACGACTTAGCGTCATTGAGTCGGCTGGTTAAGCTGGGGATACTTTACCCCTAATTAAGCTTGTGCACGCTCGGGTGGTCCCCCTTCACGTCTGTCTGTCCGTCTATCCTTGTCCTTCTTGCTCTGAAACCGAAGGCTAATTCATGCCGCTAGCCCTCGCTCTCTCTCTCTCTCTCTCTCTCTCTCTCTCTCTCTCTCTCTCTCTCTCTCTCTCCCTCCGCTATTCATCGCTGTGAATACCACGGCACAGCGCTCAACCCATTTACCTCCCCCCACCCCCTCCCCGCAGCGCCCCTTTCACCACGGCGCTGCCTTACTTCCATCGCCTCCAACCCGGATAAACGCCAAATCAGGCAATTTAATCCGTCCCGCCAAAAATTGCAGCAAACTGTACGCAATATCAGTGATGCGGTTTGAGACATGACCCTCCTGGCAGTCGCTGGAATTCTTTTTTCAGAACTCTCATATTCTAAATTTGTTTTAACCCCCTTTTTCTTTGGTTATTTTTTCCTTTTTATTTTTCTAACATCAATTTTTACCAGGCACTCTGCCTTGCCTAGCAACAAGAAAAATCAATAAACTTGTGATTTTTAGTTAGATACATATTTTTTGCACCCTTGGCGCGTTAGTGAGGTCTTGGTGCAGTCGCTGGGCACGGCGTCGGCAAGCGCGCGCGTTGCAGCGCGTTGCAGCGGTGTGCAGGCCACCAAGTGCAGGAAGCTGCACGCCGTGGCGCCACAGGCCCCGCCCCTCCGGCCGCCCGACCACGCCCCTCCACGCGCCCACCCCGCCCCGCCCCGCCCCGCCCCGCCCCGCCCCGCCCCGCCCCGCCCCGCCCCACCCACCCGGCCCGGCTCGTGTTAATTCAGGGAAACCAGATTTTCATTAGGACCTCGCAGCTGAGGTCTGTCCGTGCTGCGCGCGGCGCGCCTCGCTCCGGGCAGTACACGCTCCGCTCCTACACTGTACCCCGTCCCGTCCCGGCTCGGCGTGCCGCGGCGTGCCCGGCGTCCCCCCATTCAGTGCCATTCGGCTTCGGAATAGCGGAGTAGCGCAACTCGCTGGCCGGCCGGCCCGGAAAGCCGCAGGAAAAGAAACACGCTCCAATTCGGTTTCGGCGAACGGGCCGGAAAAAAAGGGGCAAAAGGCCCCCAGTGGGCCCAGTGTGCACCGGGGGCTTTGTGTTTTGCTTTGAACGGCCCGCCAACCACGCGTCACCACCAGGATGCATCTAATTAATCAACTCGCTCGCACTCCCCAAGCAGCGCGACAGAGACGGAGTCATTATCACTCGCCTCTCTCTCTCCTCACGCCATATGAGCACGTTAGAAAGCACAATGCACAAAAAAAAAATAAAAAAAAAAAATTAAAAAAGGAAACGGCGGAAAGGAATTGTTTTGGAATTTGCCCTTGGCTCCTGTTTATAAAATTGAACATAAATGGCGAGCCAAGACTGGCTGGCAGGCGCCGCGTACATCGACAACCTGACTGCCTCTCCCCATTCATGTCGATCTCTCGATGTCGATCTCTCGACGTGGCCCCTAATGTGATGGCGCGTGCGTGCGCGCTGGCGGCGCTAGCGAAGCCTCGAGACTGCCGTGCAAAAGTAATTCAATTGGCTTCGCCAAAAGTTGCTCGCCGCACTGCCGCGCTGCCGCCGGGCCGCCCTTTCGCTTTATTCATTTTCTTCATTTTATTCATTTCAGCATCCCATTCAATCACAGTGATTGAGTGCTGCTCTCTGGCGGGCCCGGCCAGAGGCCTCACAGCAACCCCATCAGTCGCTCCATTTGCATCTCTGCCCATTTTTTTTCTTCTCTCTCACTATTATTTTGTTTATTTATTTTGTAGCTAATCCACTACGCGCGGGATTTCCGCTTTATCGTGTTGGTACACTGGTGGAACAAAGTGCCTGGCGGGAAAGGGGTCATCCCTGCCGGGGCGGCGCTAGTGGGCCAGAAGACCGGTGGAGGCGGACAAAACTCTAGACGCGTTTTGAGCCCCAGAGTCGCTAAATGGGACTCGAACCGAGCGTGTGACCCCACCAATGGATTCCTCGTTCGGAGAGCAATCCATTGGTGGGGTCACACGTTCGGATCGAGTCCCATTTAGCGACTCTGTAGCTCAAAACGCGTCTAGAGTTCTGTCCGCCTCCACCGGTCTTCTGGCCCACTGTGCGGCCGAGCCGTCCCCGGGGCCGAGGCCACGGACACCGAGGGCCCAAAGCCCAAAGCCCAAAGCCCAAAGCAGTGTAGCAGCCCGCTGGAAGCGCCTAGCGCCGCTTGATCGGCAAAGCAACCGAGTTTGTGAATGCATCAAACGCTGCGTGAACGGGTCGTCGGAATAGTGGCTGGCCTGAAGGCCCGACGGCGAGCTGAAGGCCACTGAAGGCGGGGCGAGCGGGCAGCGGCAGCCTTTACGCCGCTGTGCTCTGTGCTGCGCTGTGAGCGGGGCGGTCTGGAGGTTCGAGGCGAGGGGCAGCGCGAACGCCCCAACCCTCGGACCTCGTCGACCGCAAGCTCCATGGGACAGGACCGGGGACCGGCCCACAGTGGGCCAGAAGACCGGTGAAGCGGCCAAAACTCCAAAGACGCGTTTTGAGCTCCAGAGTCGCTAAATGGGACTCGAACCGAACGTGTGACCCCACCAATGGATTGCTCTCCGAACGAGGAATCCATTGGTGGGGTCACACGCTCGGTTCGAGTCCTGTTTAGCGACTCTTGAGCTCAAAAGACGTCTAGGATTTTGGCCGCTCCACCGCACAGTGGTTTAAAATCCTGTTTTAGGGGGAATAAAGCGATTTTTCAAAAGTGTCGTGGGGGGCATTCTGGGGGGTGGACACGAACTATAATACTCCAATACAATATAAAATGACGTTTATAGATTCTTATATGACGCTGGGAGCCACTGGGAAGGGTTTGATTTTAGTCTTTTGTATTTTGATCAAATTCACCTAATTTTCTTAGATGTTTCCTACCCTTATTTTTCCAATCAGGGCGATGGTACTGGTATGTTGGCGTGTTTTTCTTTTCGTTTCATCATTAATCAAAGGAAAGCAGCACATAGCGCAACATTTCGTTCGCGGTTTGGCTCACGGTGGCGGGTTTTTGCTACAAATGCGTTCAACACATTAAAAAACACACTTTTGGAGTTTCGGACATCGATGGGGCCCGATGGGGCGGAGTTATTGGTGCGAGGCGCTTCCCTTACATGTATATTAAGATGCCCCGATGATAACTTTTCCGCACTCGTCCGCAACACGAAACGCAAGGGGACCAACACCACAAAAACGTGCAAAATTGATTAGTTTTGGGGATAATCGCTTCTGGTGTGCACCATTCAAAATGAAAAATACATCAGTGCAATTGTTTTTCTTTTCAAATATTTTGTTTTTCTTAGTAACAAAATGGTTTAATGCGGCTTAGAAGTTAAAACTAAGTATTTTGAGCATTTTTTAGTTTTGCACTTTTTGTCAATTCTGTCATTTTTCTTCTAATTTTGCTATTTTTTTCATTATTTTAGCATTATAAATCAAATTTTTATCGGACCACTTTTTCCTTTGAACTGGTCTTTGCCTATTGCCTACAGATGATTCAGTTCAATTCTGGTAGCATTTGGTCGCACGAGACGCTTGCTAGGACTTATTCCCCCGAAAATCGCATTTTAAACCACTGTGCACCGGTCTTCTTGCCCACTGTGCGGCCGTGCGATCCCGCGAACGGCGCCGTTTCCAGGGGCGCCGGAAGTGTATTTCCTCAGGGGGGGCAAACAATTTTAAATCCTACGTTCCTAATTACCCCCCTCCCCCACCAAAAAAGGTGCTTAAAAAGACCCTACTCTTTCATGCACCGCCTCGGGAAGGCTTTGACCGCTGATAGTTTAGGAGCAGTGGTCTCGCAAAAATGGTCAAAAAGTGAATGAATTTCAGAAAATCATCGTTTTTGCTGACTTTGAGCGGTCACTGCATCCAATTTAGTTGCGGTCAAAGGCCTCCCTCGACGCCTTACTATTCTAAAGACCCTACTCTTTCATGCCCCGCCTCGGGAAGGCTTTGACCGCTGATAGTTTGGGAGCAGTGGTCTCGCAAAAATGGTCAAAAAGTGAATGAATTTCAGAAAATCACCGTTTTTGCTGACTTTGAACTGTCTCTGCATCCAATTTAGTTGCGGTCAAAGGCCTCCCTCGACGCCTTACTATTCTTAAGACCCTACTCTTTCAGGCCCCGCCTCGGGAAGGCTTTGACCGCTGATAGTTTAGGAGCAGTGGTCTCGCAAAAATGGTCAAAAAGTGAAAGAATTTCAAAAAATCATCGTTTTCGCTGACTTTGAGCGGTCACTGCATCCAATTTAGTTGCGGTCAAAGGCCTCCCTCGACGCCTTACTATCCTAAAGACCCTACTCTTTCATGCCCCGCCTCGGGAAGGCTTTGACCGCTGATAGTTGGAGCAGTGGTCTCGCAAAAATTGTCAAAAGTGATTGAATCCCCGCAAGTATGATTGTCATTTCATTGGATGATGTTGATTATTTCACTGGTTACCAACTAGACGCGCAATGATTATCTTGAGTCGGGTACCCCTTGGAATATGCTGTCCCATTTTTACCCCGTGTCCTATAATTGCTCCAACTGACCCTAGGCTCGATTTTCGCAGCTTCCCACCAAAGTCCAGGGGGGGGGGCGATGCCCCCCCTGCCAAATTCCAGGGGGGGCAGCCTGCCCACCCTGCACCCCACTTCCGGCGCCCCTGGCCGTTTCGTCACTCTGTCTCTCTCGCACCCCTACGGGACGCCCCATGAGTGCGACGGAGACAGAGAGGCTGCCGTGCCCTGGCCTGGGGGCGCCGCGATTGGTCCTCACAGAAATGGACACCCACTCCGAGTAGCATTAGCTTTCCGTCCTAAACCTAACTCATGTAATCACAGAACCTGAAGAGCGAAAACAAATCCCATCCGTT